GGACATCCTGGTCCTTGGTATGAATTGAAAATGCACCCTACCGGGGAAGGGTAGCCTGGTGGGACTCCCTGTGATGAGGGAGTACTTAAGAAATGCCAGGCCATTTACCTCCCCGATGAAAAGTGGGTAGGGGCACTTTAACCCCAACCCCCACCAGTTTGGTGGGTTATAATATCAGAGGGAAGTAGGGCCAGGCACTCCCAGGGAAGGGCACCTGAGCCCAGAGTAGGTCGTGGGGCTAGGCATGCCCATGGGTGGCACCTGAGCCCGTAGGGATGTAAGACCCCAGGGTGTAGTGGGGCCAGGCATGCCCATGAGAGTGGCACTGGAGCCCATAGAGGTTTAAATCCCTGGAGAGTAGCGGGGCCAGGCACACCCATGGGAGGCAAATGAGCCCGTGGAGGTGTAAGACAGAGTCAGAGTCATGTGTTTACCACCCGTGAGTAGCAGGGTGCGCAAAGGGCAGCCTCCCATCCAGTTAATATCCTAATTATTGTACAACAAGGCGTGGCAGAAGAGTAAGGTGGGCAGTGTGCCCAAAGACAGGTGGGCGGGCCAGCACTATGACTGGGCATGGGAGTTTGCCCCCTGTCACAAGAACATTTTTGTCTCATATTTTCCCACCCAGGCACCTGGGTGACTTCCATTTGGACACTTTTTCTCACATTTTTAAATGGATTTATATGGATTCCCATTCAATTAGTTGGATTTAGTCATATCATCAGTTCGAAATTATGGACAGAGGTGACTGTAAAAATTTGCCAAGTTAATCTGATTGCTCCCCTTTTTAACTTATAGAAACAAGACTCAGGGAGAGAAAACAATCTAATTTATTTGATTTCTACACTGCTCTTCCCAATAAATGCTGAGGGTGCCTTACAATAAGAGAACGCAATAGTTTATCAGGAGAGTGACAAGAGAGGAAAACAATTTAAATTGAACTAGGATAGCAACATAAAGCAGAGACCATCTAAACAGTAGCTCAGCTTAGCTTTGCTTGCTAAATGGCTGCCCAAATAGGAGGGTCTTTCAGTACTTCTGAAAGATGTCCAGGCTCAGGCTCTGGATAGCCATAAGAGGGAGCGAAATCCAGAGCTGAGGAGCAGCTGTCAAAAATGACCTCTCACATGTTTTCTCCAGCTGGACTGGGCATACCGATGGTATTTCATAAAGTTGCTCTTGCCTGACCTTAGGACTCATGATGGGGTGTAATAGAGAACATAGTTCCTTAGGTATGTAAGACCAAGACCATTTAGGCCCTTACAGGTCTAAACCAGAACCCTGAATTATGTAATTATATTATTAAATACATTCTACTCTTTGGTATGAACCAGATTTTGGACTACTCATAGGGTAAAGGAGCACTTAACACATGTATGAGAATCCTCTAGCTAAACCATCCTATGCAGTTCATAATCTAAACTCTACAATGGACTGACGCAACACAGACCTGTTTTCTTCCAGCTCAGAACACCTTGCAAGTTTTCAGGAATTTCAGATAGCCAGTAGATGTAAGTAGCCATTGGCGTGTTCATTCTTGTTTCCTTGTAGAATCCAGGATGCAGATACTAGACAATTTGGCAATCAGAAAATTGCTTGTGTGGGGTTGGTGGTTAATCCTTTTATCCCATTTCAACTGTAGACAGAGCTGGACTATTCCCAGCCCTGAAACCGACCGGGTCCTGTCCATTTCAAGGACACAGCGGGCACGTCTACACGTGCCCCACTTGCTGTGGTTACTGCGCCATCATTTAGTACTTCCTCTTGGAAATACTAAACGACAGTGCAGTAACAGCCATTACTGCATCATGCTGGTGGCACATGGTTATTTTTAGTCCCTACCTTGCAATAGTAATGCACTATAATGAGGGAGTGAGTTGCTATGGTGACGTAGCTGCAGCATCACGGTTTGTGCCCACCGATGCTACATCGCCGTTGTGTGTTGCTATGGCAATGTAGCGTCACATGTAGACGTGCTCAGTGGGTGTGTCTACACGAGATGCTGACTGCTGACTGACTACAGGAGTTGTTACTGTGCAGTCATTTAGTATTTGCATAACCAATTACTAAATGACTGTGCAGTAACCAGTGTTGCTGTGCAGTGGTGTCCTGGCATGGTTGCCTAGTGACTCTTGCATCCCAATTAGTGCCCGGTGATGCTACTGTGCAGTAGTAACAAGCTACTGCACAGTTAGCATCTTGTGTAGATGCACCTACTTAGAGGCAAGGTCCTCTTCATAAGCTGTTGCTAACTGCAATAAGGTGGGAACACTTGAACAGAGGTTGAGGACAGACTGTATAAAACAATGTAACCAGTATTAATGAGGTGTGAACAGCTATAATCAGGCTGTTCCCACTGTACATGGCAGGCCTGCTGAATTCCACTTAAGTCGAACCTTTAATATTGAAAACAGTGGGATTTGGCAAATGTGCTATTTGCATGATTTAAATGGCTGCCTGCTTCAGTGTTTCATGTGACGTGACTAATATTGTGTTACGTCTCAGATGAACATCTACACTGTGTTATGTCTCACTTCTAACAACTACACCTTCCTCAAGATCCACGTTTGGTTTTAATGATTCTCTTGCTAATGCTGGCCACGCTGACTTTGAAGCTACTCTCTCAACATTCGCTTCTACTTTTTAAGAAAACTCAGTCTTCAAAGCTAAAACCATTTTTTGAAGCTTGTGAGCATGTGTGCTCAGAGCTCACTTCACAGCGTGTGGACCAATGTGTATGACTAATGGCTTCAAAAGGGGAGGGGAGCTGTTTCTCAGGGTTGAGTGCTTTGCTCTAACGGTTCTCGTGTATGAGTTGGTAACGAACTAAATCGACCCAGCTCTGGCCCCGGATGAAGCAGTGTTAAAATTGGAGCACTTCTGCTCCACTTCTTTGACCATAGGCTCCTATATATCTAACATTTTCAGTGTAAGAGCTGCTGAAGGTTCCCAGGCATCAGCAGCTCCCTGCTCATTGGGAACTGCTCTTATTTGTCCATCCTCTTTCTCGTCTCCCCACCACACCACAAAGCTCTGGGCAGAGCTGGCATTGTGTGACCCTGGGAAATGACCAATGGAAAAAAGGGTAGACGAGGGCAGGAAGTAACGTGAAAAGAGGATGGCATAGTTGCATAGGTTTATCAGTGAATTTTTTATGACTTATTTACTGGTAGTTTGCATTTCATTGCCAGCGTCTCTCTAATCAGTCATAGACTGAATTAGACAAGGGAAAAAAGTTTGGTTTATTAGTGGCAGTGAATTTGGGGGAGGAGGCCGTGGGTTGCTAGCATGGATTTCAGTGCTACGCCCTTTCTCCTCGTGGTACCACAGAGCAAGGTAGAGCAGTGGTGCCCCATCTCTTGGCCCCATGGGCAAAGTGAATGGCGTATGGCTGGTCCATGGGCCAGATCAGGCCCCATGCTGGCTAGATCCAGCCGCTCATTGGCCCAGCCTTGCAGTTTAGCGAGCAGGGCCGTATTATTGAGCCCACGTGGTTCCCCATGGGTCCTGAATTTTGGCAGCAGGGGAATGCTAATTAGCACTAATTAATGCTGCCACCTTTTCCCCCACCACCAAATTTTCATACCTGCTGGGGAGCCCCACAGGCCAGATAACATGACTGTATGGGCTGGGGGTCGAACACCCCTGACATATTTTCCAAAACTAGACACGCTGGTACCTGCTGCTTTGCACAGCCCAGGCATTCCTTAAAGCTGCATTTTGCAGAAACGTGACTTTGAATTTTGCTACTTTATTCCTTTGCCAGCACTTCGTTTGTGTGTGTGTGTGTGTGTGTGTGTGTGACAGAGTTAACCCTCACAAGACAACAGTCCCCATGGACCTATGCTGAACACGGTGGGACCTGTAGTTTCCTGTGGTGATAGGACAGCTCTAAAATAAGGGATGCGTGAAGAATTTACAAGTTCTTCAGTGGACTCCTGAAAGGGACTCAATGCTACTCTTTACCTGCTTTCAGAGAAATCAGTCAGGGGGAAAACCATCATATAAGAGCAGGGAGGAAAGTGCCTAGAGTCTCTATTGTGTTAAGCCATCATGAGCTATATGGCGTGTTCAGGGAAAAAGGCAGCAAAAAGCTTTGGGGTCTGATTTTGAGAGGCCAGTTTTTCTCTGGTGTAATTCCACAGCCATGCAGACGTTTCCGACTTGCACCGCTGTTTCCAGGAGAAGAATGAGCCCCTTTGTGTGTGGTGCGTGTATATTTTAAGGGATGGCTGAATGAGCCTGAACAACACGCAGCTACATTTGCAATCAATTCAAGGGTAACATTCTTGTGTGGCTTTCCCAGCCTCTGGCCCCTCTGAGCAAGGAAATAATTTCTTGTCCCCATGTCGGTCATCTCATGCGGGTTTATTGTTCACGAGAATCTTAACAGTCATGGAAAAAGCCAGTTGGCCTCAATCCAGATGCCAGGCTGGTTTTGTTAGGTCAGTAGGATGGCTACAAAGGTTGGTTTATGGTATAGATCCCCAGTAATTAAGTGGTTTACCATTCGAGGCTACTTTCTAGGAAGGCGATGCATGAAAAGAAGAACGAGGTGAATAGGAGAGCGGCTGCCCCCCCCCATAAAAGCAGCAATGTACGGTCCACGCCACTCTCTGAATACACCTAGATGCAGCTGTGTACAGCAATACTTTTACTTGCCCTTTCATCTTACCTATTAAACATGTTTTACATAAGCCCAGACTTATTATTAAGCCTAATTTTCTTATGCTCTTTGCAACCCTTTCTGGTCTTACTGAATGTGTCTCCACCTACGCTGTACCATAACCATCGTCCGGAGGCACCTTAGTATTTATTTATGCCTTTTATTTCTCCTGCTCTTCCTTCCCCGGCACTTGTGTATTTTGCTGTACTCAGAAGCCAGGTGCATTATTTGCGCAGCAAAGAAGTTCTTGTTTAACCTGTGGGTCGGCAAAGTCGCTATGTGCTTTCACCGAACACAGATGCTCATTTCTTTCTCTTGTTTTGGTCCCTCCTAGGAAATGCCTACAGAGAGTGTATGGGAAATGGGACATGGGCGTCCAAGATAAACTACTCTCAATGTGAGCCTATTCTGGATGACAAGGTTTGTACCTCTCTTTGTCTTTCACCATTTTGCTAGATGTTGTATCTTCGGCATACCGGTGAGGAAGGGTGATGGTTGCTGTATCTGCCACACACTCCAGGCATAACCACAGGCAAGCACTTTGCTCCTCTGGGCCTCAGCTTCCCATCTTTCAGTCACTGTCCTATTTATTCAGATTGTATGTCCTTGTGAAGAGTACGTCCGTATGCTTGTAAGACCCTCACTTAATGGGACCCCAACAGATGTTGCTCTGATGGTGCTTCTACTACGAATGGAGCAGTGTCACCATACTTATACTGCCCAAGATAGTTTTGTACCACCTGCCCCTGCAAAGTGCATAGCGTCTGTAGTATCCAGTGGCCTCAAGCATTTCCAGCTCTTGACCTCATTTCCCCTCTGACAGATCTGGCAGGGAGAATGGACAGGAACAAAGAAATGCATTAAAACAAGGGTTGAATTGCAGCTGTCTAAAAGAACGAATGTGTCCAGTATCACACCAGCGTCTTGTTCTGGGCTAAATGTTATAAGACTGTTTTGGAAAGGCTGGAAGCTTTGTGTGAAATCCTCTCTTTTCAGATTACCCAGTTGAGCCTTGAGATCTAAGGAAAGTTCATCTGTGTCTTAATTGCAGGCCCAAGGCCCGCATGCCACGGTCATCATGTTTATCATTCTGCTATTCTGAGGTCTCGAGTAAAGTCCAGGTCTTGTGCTGTCTCTGTGCCTGGGGCAATGAGAATTTCACCCGAGAAATAAATGGATTTACGACTACTTTCTAATATTTATTTTTCCTCCCTGTTGCTAGAGATGTGCTAGGCACTTTGCAAACAGAGCTGAAGAAGGTGAGGTCCCCTTTGCTCTGAGGAGTTTGCTGTGTAAATCAGACTATATGAACACGGAAAAAGAGAAGGAAGGAGGGCAACAAAATTTGCTATGCTCTGGGTTCCCCATTTGTTCAGATTTTGGCTTTTAGTTTGATGCGAGTAATATGAAAAGGCAGTTAGGGCAGATATGAGAGCAGGAATACACAGCACAAAAATGATATTACTAATTACTAATTCTGAGTATTCAGCAAGCATTTGGAAACCCAAGAAATCATAAGGTGACTTAAGCACCATAAGTTTTTGAAAATTGAAATAATATTGGGTCCATTCTGCATTTGCCTTTTGGTTTATGTGCCTTTTAGGAGCAGAGGCAGAGATACCGAGTACATGGGGGCCCGAGGGCCCTGGTCCCCCTCGGGAGAGGGCTGTCACCTGAAATGCATAAAACTTTCCACATCTATTATTTTAGGTGCCCCCCCAACCAAAAAAAAGTTGGCGCCTATGTGCACAGGGGTTATTTTCCGAGCTTTTCTCTGCAACCACAATGGCTAGGAAATGAGATTTTCTTTGTCAAATGATAGCTGAGTGTCTCATGTACTCACTTGACTCCAGGAAGTGGGACTTGAATCAAGGCATCAAATATCAGGCAATTTCGTATGTAACACTGCAATGCAGTGATGGAAAGTAGCCCAAAGCCATGAATTTTCAGTAAGACTTTGGAGACAGAGCATGAACTTGTTTGGCACAGTGGCTGAGGGAGACTGTGAAAGGCAGGGGAGACAGCACAAGGAAATGCATAGTCATAACTGGGAAAAGGAGACAAGGGGGGTCATTAAGGCTGGAGGAATTAGTAGAGCCTAATATACAGGGGAAGAGATTAGGTGGTAACAACTATTCTGAGGAAGGTGGAAGCAATGCATGGGCTAAAGACTTATGTGGTTACTGCAAGGAATAGGTATCCTTTGAGTTAGGTCCAGCAGCCAAAGTATTATTGCCTTCTCTGCCTATCTAGGAAAAGTCTACTGCTTTACTAGTTTTGTACTTGCATGACTTCGAATAGTTACCATCCCTGCAAAGGCAAATATAGAGGAGCTGCATTGAAAGCGGTTGGACAGGTGTTATACCTAAGGCTTTCTCTCCTGTACTCTGCTGGTTTTAACCTTGGAAGCCCTGGCGATACTGTCAAACGTCTTAAATCACAAATTACTGAACCAGCTGAAAGCTGAGAGTTTTTCAGAACCACCAACATTTGCAAAAGCTTAAAAACTCATTTAATTGATCTTAAAAGATTTATGACAATCTTTACAAGTATTCGAGTTTATGGGTGTTTATGAAACATCTACCCAGTGCTGGGATGCTCGAGATCCAACCTAGGGTGGGCCAGTGATCAGAAATGTTCCCCTCCGATTCCTTGAAATCCCCTTTGGGTTACACATGAGATGCGTCCGCATGTTTGCTCCATCGGTGCTTATCGACTGAGCTCAGTTGGCCGGCGGGCACCCAGTGAACACGTCCACCAATCTGTTCTCCAGTACAATGTGATGCAATTTTCCAAATGGAGCTGCTGACCTCCAGGGCTGTAAATAAGGATTTAGCAGTCTTTGTTAAATGCAGCTATAGCTCAGATCCTTCCAATGAGATGTGTGCTAAAGGATCCTGGAATTAAAACCACAGACTGTTATGTAGCCTTCCTTAACTGGGTCTATAATAGATTGATTTCCTCCATGGATCAGCGACAAAGGGGGGACCTACAGTGCACACTCATCAGACTCGTGTGAATTGTCCCATTGAACTCATGGTGTAAAGGGGAGTTACAAATGGATCTATGCTCTGTGGCATTTCTGCTTCTAGAGTCCCAAGGTAGGCGGTTGACAGAGCTTCCCTGTTGACCTTGAATCAGGGGACCAAATATGATGATCTACTGCATCATGATTTAATGGCTGTTTGGTGGCATAATAATGGAAAATGTATTTATAGTTTTAGCTCAATATAGAGATATCCATATCATGGAAACCTTCACATACCTATTACTCATTCTTACTGGCAGCCAAATGGACGTCTAACTCAGGGACAAGTAAGGCTCTGTAAAAAGGGACTTTTTAAGATGTCGCTGCAGAGCAAGCAAAGATCAGGTTTTGGTCTTCATCAGCCTGGTTGTTGTTCATGTTTGATACCACTCGGACAGAGGTGAAGAAGAGAGAGTGGGAGAAGTAGCAGGAGCTGCTGAATGTATTTGTTCGTCGGAAGGGGCTATCTAACATCAAAACCCCCAGCTGTGGAAAACAGTATTTTGAGAGAAAATGCAGGAGCCTTAAGTTGGGACCAAGCTGTCATCCTAGCAATTGTTGTCCTTTGTATTGCAGATCAGTTCAGCTCTAGATAATCTGTGGAGAACATACAGAATGGGCCAAGTTAGGCGACACGACCACCCAGTTGTGGCTCAGCTGGCTCCATGTCCGGTGTTCACAGGGTGAATTCAAGACTGATCTGATACCTTGAAACCGTTTGCAGAGCCTGTGCTAAGAGGCAGTGGGGAATGTGCTATCTACATCCCCATTTTCTGCAGGAACTGACAGGATACTCAGCCAATAGGAAGTAGGATCCTCCTTTTTTTGGATAGCTGTCCTGTGAGTAGGGGCTGCAGTTATAGTCCAGCGTTGAGTTATTGGCCACCTCGGTTTGGAGAGACTGGGGAATCAGCCACTTGCTTGGAAAAGGAGAAACTTTCACAACTCTTTGCCTTCCTTCACCTGCTTGAATCTAACCCTAAGAGCGCCCTTGCCTCTGTGTGCTTGAACCAGCCCTGGAGGTCGGGCACATGCCCCCTTTGGAGGATAAAGCCTGATACAAACCCCTGGTGTTGCCCCTGCACTGTGGCCATGCTCTTGGTTACAGTTACCATCTTTTATCAGATGCTATCCAGCTACTGCTCTACTGGTAGGATATCAGCTATCCCCATCTGCAGAAGAAGTGGCTGAGGCAGTATGCAGTCCAGTGTCTCCATCTTCATCTCTTTATCTCCCCGTTTCTGCACAAGGATCTTGTTTCTGAGCAATCAGCCTGTAACTTCAGGGTTGTTATCCACTTCAGCAAACAGACATTAGGCAGGGCTCATGACACAGTATGGCAAGACTTCTATATTAGCAGAGCTTTGCCCAGAAAAAGTTATATGTTTTTCAGTAATAAAATGTGGAAATATTGCCCAGCACAAATGGAGCTGAACCAGTTATTCCAGTAAGGTAAACTGGAAGAAACACTGGGGGTAGAGTTGTTTAAAACCCCTAGTTAGATCAGCATTGTATCTTTAGTTAGGTCCCACTTATCTTTCTGGTATTTGGATTTGTCTTATGAGTACCGCCTGTCAGGCCAGGCCTTTCTTGGTCTGCCATCTGGTACCATGTAAACCAATATAGCCTGTTCCATGGTTGGGTTGTCGGTGACTGAGCCAGTGCCCCCACCTGGGTTAGCCTGGGTGAGGCGGGTGTGTGGACACCCAGCAGGACTAAAATCAAGACCTGTCAAAGGACAGATGAGCTCCCTGTGAGCCAATGGCCATCCATACCTGGAGAGGAGATAGGCACCACCAGGTCACTTTGGCCAAAGAATCACCAATGATGCACAGCATCTAAGGTGCCCCAATGGTTTCAGCAGCCTCGAGACTGACGAGACTTGACTTATGAGTAGCAGAAACAATAGAGCCTGTTCCTTCCTTGGCACCAGCATGTGACATAGGAGTTGATTTTCTTTTTTCCATTTGATTTTATTGTCTTCACACCTGTAACCTTGTACGATTTGTGCAAAGTTAAGCTACCTATTATGGTAGCAGCAAGGGAGATGAAATACTTGATTTACAATCCTACTTTTTTGTGGAGGAGAGGAACCTTTTAGTCTTGTATTTCTAAAAAATCCTTAGAACTGGAGTGGCAATTATCAGTAGAGCGAATGAAATACTTGTGTTTCAAGGAATCGGGTACCATTCAAATAAAAAGGTGTATGTGTTTTGTTGGGTTTTTTTTCCTGTTGGTTATCCGGCATAACATGGTTCAGGGTGAAATGGTCTGACGTTTCTGTGCTTCCTCAAGGCTATTTGGAAATGGGCAGCTGCAAGTGAGACTCATTCTACAGTATTTTCCAATCCCCCTTTTAAATCCTCATATAATATAGCTCTCTCCAAGGACAGCCTAGCAGACTTTGCACCAAAGACTTAGGTATGCTTTATCATGGGAGTGTTGCCAATAAAATGGTCTCTCTAAGGAAAAGCTAGAAGGTATCATCTTCAGAGAACTGAGAGACTATTTTAACTTCAGCTAGTAGAGTGCAAAAGAGCATGGATTTATTGAAAACATATTTTCAACTTAAATGAGATTTTTTTGTGCACATTTTCTTTTTTCTTTGATTTTTTTTTAAAGGGAAACTTAAAAAGAACTGGCAGTTCGCAGTATGAGAAGAAAAGTGTTTTTGTTTTTGATATCATCATCTTGCGCTTTTCCTTCCTCCAAAAATGGACATTTTGTAAAGACACTTGGCTTTCCTGTCTCATTTCCTGTTGGCGTTGTCTTTTTTGAGTGCTCCATGTCTTCATTATTCTGATTACCTTTAAGATATAAACTCCTAAACTATACAATCCAGAGAGTAATGCATCGCTACTGAAATCCCATGGGAAAATACTGATGCGGTCAGATCTTTAAGAAATTATGGAAATATTCCAAATGGCAACAGAGCCTTTTGTTAGGAGAACTGCCTTGTTATGTCTGGACAGTATGCTTGATTAATACATAAATAGCTGCAGTAGGGTTGCTATAATATCTTTTTAAAGTCAAGAAAAGCAATTACTGTTTCCTTAAACTGATTAAGTGTTCCTTAATGTCTGCGATCAGAGCGTCATGCTGATTTAATCATGTTATCTTTTACCTCCAGAGGAAGTATGCACTCCATTACAAGATTGCTCTCATCATAAACTACCTGGGACACTGTATATCTGTAGGAGCACTTATTGTTGCCTTCATGCTTTTCTTGTGCTTGAGGTGAGTAATCTCGTTTGAATTTTGTTCCTTTTCTTGAACACGTGGCTTTAGATTTGGTAACTCATTCCATCCAATAACAGTCTAGGTTGTGCATGCCCTTGGGAAATGAATACGGGTGCAATTCTTCACGACATGTATGCAGCATCCATTGATCCGTACAGTTGATGTACACTAATGATGTGCGTCTGCACTTGGGAAGAAAGAGCCTTATTTGTATTCCTAAGTGAAGTGGTGAGATATTGATATCTTAGATATGCTATGAATGTACAAAGTGCTCTATCAAAGGAAGGAGACTTTGATATAAGTCAAATCACAAATATTTATATGAGATCTTGGCAATGCAGAGTATGTTCCACTGGCTGGTGACGCAAGGTCCATGGAAGTTGACAGGACTCTTCCATTAACTTGATCTTGTGCCTGGTACTAGATTCCTGGAGACCTAAATGGTTGCAATTCTGTCTTTTTTGTTACAAAGAATAAGCCTTTATGGTAACAGGGGTGTAAGTTGTAGCCGTGTTGGTCTAAGGCCATAGGCAGACAAGGTTCTTTGGGTAAATCCGATATCTCTTATTAGATTGTCTGCAGATGCTTTATCAGCCTGACAAAAGGTGATTGTGCCCAAAAGCTCGCTAAGAAGAACTTTTCCAACTATTTAAGTTAGTCTAATAAAAGATATCGAATTTACCCAAAGAACCTTGTCTGCCTATCGTCTTAGACCAACACGGCTACAACCTACACCCCCGTTACCATAAAGGCTTATTCTTTGTAACAAAAAGACAGAATTGCAACCATTTAGGTCTCCAGGTATCTAGTACCAGGCACAAGATCAAGTTAATGGGAAGAGTCCTGTCAACTACTACGGACCTTGGATCACCAGCCAGTGGAACATACTCCGCATTGCCAAGATCTCATATAAATATTTGTGACTTGACTCATTTGATAAGTACAGTTTTCCCCTCCTTTTGCACTGGTTCTCAGATGAAAAGTCCTTTCTCTGGGAGCCCTTCTTAGGCATACACAGGCAACTTGGAGAAAAGTTTCAGGAGCTTGCCAGAAGGAATTATCTTGATTCCTGGTTGCATACTTTGTTCCTTTGGAAAAAATCTCTTACCAGCGGCATCTGGATTTAGTTGCTACTGAATCGATTTCCCAGTTTAGCCAGTTTCAGCCAGTTCTTTAAATGAACGTGGGCATAGTCATCTGCATGTGAGCAAAACTGACATGAATTCACTGGGCATGGTCCAGTAGCCAGTGAAGTCAACCAGGGTTTTTCCACTGGCTGACATGGTCTTTGGATCAGGCCTGTTGTTTCTGTCAGGGCAACTGTAGGTGTCATCCTTCCTCTGGCTTTGCCAAGATTGTGCTCAGAGACATTTATAAGGCAGCCTAATCCTTCTCTCACTGAAAATGTCAGGAGTTTGCCTAAATAAGGATTGAGCATAAACTGAACTAGAGCTTTAGGATTTGGCAGCCAAGGCCGTCAACACAGAGGATGAGACTCATAGACGCCGAATTCCAGATTGTCCTCCGTCCCGGTTCCCTGCCACCGATGAGGACAAGGAGGTTGACAGCCAGGCTGCCTGGATATCACTGCAGCAGTGATACTTGTAAGGAAGAGGTGGGCCTGCTGGAAGACCACGGGGGGAAACAAATACTTCACCTAAGAGAGGTGGTGGCTAGTTTTACGTTGCTAAATGCTTTCAACTGTTAGCTGCAGTTAGGTACGTTTTGTAGACGTGGCATGTGGCTGTTTAGGGTATTTCCGCGGTGATAGCATTTTTATTAGCGTAAATAAATGTAATTATAATTTAATTATAATTTAATTAATAAATCATTTTAATAGCATTTTTAGCATCGTTATTTGTATTATCATAGCACCTAGGCAACCTCTTCATAGACTTGGACCCCTTTGTGCTGGGCTTCTTATCCGAAAGAGTTTACTATCTAGCAGAGCAGACGAGGGATAGATAAGGGACAGAAAGGAAAAGAAGGCGGTGAGACAAGGGTCAGTATGGAGGGCAGTGGTCTCTGTTGAATGACTTGATGTTTCTACGGCATTTGGTCCCACTGTGAAAACCCTACATGGCTCTTGCACATAAAAGGGCAATGAATTTATCAACATGAGGCTTATCATCTGACCCCAGGGCCACTACGTGGCAATCCAGGCTCAAGTAAAGGAAGGAAAAGCTTTGTTAACTTTCTCTTCTCCTCTCTGATACTGAATCTTCATCAACGTCTAAGTAAATAAGGAAGCAGCAATTAGATATTTTTTTATAAATGTATCAGTTATCTACTTTCTAATACAGCTGTAACCTAGTTGATCGTTCATAAATTAATTTTGTGCTATATAAATCTTGACTTCAAGCTTTGAGCGCTGCCGTCAGCTTCACAGAATTCAGCATTAAAAATGACCGCAGTATTTAAGGCATTCTTCATAGGTGCCTTGAATTAATATTTTCTCTTGCATATTCAAATAAGCATCTGTTGCACCATGCAATATAAATAGAGTCACTTCAATGCCATACATGTCTAAGAACACTGGGCCAGCTCTTTAATGGTGTTAAATCAGCATAGTCTTCTCCGATGTCTCCCAGGAGCTGCTCTCTTTCGTACTATCCAAATATCGGCCCTTTCTCTGTAATCCAAATGCTGGATGTACAGTAGGGCCTGGTGTTTGATAGGCTCATCACACATCCTCCCTCAGAAGTAAATCAATTGGGACCAGAGAGGACATTCATTAAACTGATTAAAATTCTGATTTTTAGTCTGGTTCTCAGGGGTTATTAAAGTGGTTTGAGAAATAAGGGAGTCCGTGGAATATTTGTCTATATGGAGGCAGGATCAAGCCAAACAAGCAGGAAAACCCGTCTCTAGAAGAAACTGCCTCTGGTGCTGGCCATCTTCTCCCTCCCTCCCTTGCCATCTGTAAGCCTGGTTGGAGTCCACCATGTTCTCAGCTCTGCCGTTTTCTTATGTTCACACCCCTGCTCCGAAGCCACAAATCCTACAGTGGAGAGGAGGCTCCCAGTGTTTCGGGGTTTGCTGTGAACTGTTTCATCACCTAGGCTTCGTAGCCCTCATCTTGTTTGAATTGTGTCTCTTCTGGCAATAGGTGAGAACCTCAGGCCAAAAGTGGGTAGCATCTAAAAGTCAGTCCCACCTGATGGCCATTGAAGGGCCTGTGTCTACAGACTCTGAGTTCAAAGGAGTTATCCTCACATAAGGACCAGCTTGTCAGAGTGGTCAACACTTGTCATAGAGATTAAACTACCTACTTATTCCTTAATGGAGACCTTCAAGGTGCAAGCTGAGTATGTAGCAGGAAAGCTTTAGCTGGTTTTTGGTTTGGCACAGAGGATTTCAATCCCTCACCAATACCTTTCCCAAGGACAAGTAGACATCTAGAAAAGATGTCTCCTCAGAGGCCAGCTTGCTGTGCACCGTGAAGCTCATCTTCTTGTTGCACCCTTTGGAGCTGTACTTGACTGCCACTGACATGGTGTCTCTGCATTTTCATTCTGGCTGCATACATTTCTACCCAAAAGCATTTCTTCTGGTAGAAAAATAGCCTGGGAGATGGACTATACTGATGTCCCAATTTATAGGTGAGCTCTCCTGCCAGGAGGCCCTTGAGGGTTGCTCCCTGGGCTACTGCTGCCCATAGGGGAGCCATTGATGGACCACCTGCCCTCTCCCTGCCCTGGGAAGGGGGTAGACTGTCAAGTGGTACTTGACAGCTGCTGAAAAGCCATGGGACGGTTCGGGCCCGCAGGAGAACACCTCCCCATCTGGCCAGCCAGCTGATTGCCAGGAGGGGGGCACTCTTCCATGCAAGACCCTCCCAGTTTGCCCCTGGAACGGAATGGATACACTCCGTGCACTCCTTCAGGCTGACCAGAAGAGTGCAGGAAAAGGGGGGCAGACAAGAGCCTTTGGGTAGATGCGATATCTTTTATTAGACCAATAAATAGTTGGGGAAAAATGGTGTTTTGCAAGCTTTCAGGCACAAACACCCTTCTTCAGTCATAGGAAGAGTCTGTCCTTAGACCAATGCAGCTACAACCAGCAACCCTAAAGCATGGAAAAGGGGGGTACTCCAGTGTTATATAAGGGCTCGAGGAGCCCAATGGCAGGGGCACAGCAGCCAGCATCACTCTGAAGCTAACCCTGAGCAGTGGAGGCATTTTAAATCAGCAGCAAGGCTCCTGAGTGTTGCCTTTACACAGCCTTCTGCCTCACCCTGCACTGCTCTGGCTCAGCTGAGCGGCCAGGGGAAGCCGGAGGGGCTGGATGCTGGGCAAGCAAAGACTTTTTCCAAGCCTGCTCCTGGCCCCTCCAGCTTTTAAGTTGCCACCCCCATCACCCAGCTGAGTGGCAAGGTGGCAGGGACTGGGAACCTGGCTGGGGAAATCCTCCATATGTTCCCAGCCCTTCTGGCTTCTCCTTGTCCCCTTTGCTGCTCAACGGGGTGGTGAAAATGGCAATTTAAGTCAGAGGGGATGAGGGCAGGGCTTAGGGACAGCCTTTCCAACCCAGCTCCCAAGTCCCAGCTCTCAGCTCCCGCTGGTTTTCAAATCACTGCACTGCCCAGCTGAGTGGCAGGGAAGTCAGGGGAAGCCAGAGAAAGCTGGTAAAACCCCTACCTCTTCTTGAGACCAGAAACTTCCTGATTCGGGGAAGAGGCAGAGAGCGGTGGCTTCTTCTCCCCTCACCTCCCAGTGTGTGGGAGGGCAC